TTTAAATCAGACAACACAAATAAACAGGTACAATTTCAAATGTTGACTTTTTTAAGCTTTTTAAAAGTCTCATTCCTTTACTGCTAATTGTGGGTTGTGATTAAAGTGCCGGGAAGTATGTACACCACAGTTCACAAACATTTTACTTGCCCTGCACTGCCTTGGGACCTTCAGTACTATCCTCATACAGATCGTAAGCAACATTCAGACTCTGCAGGTCACCCTTTCTAGACTTGCACCACAAGTGGGCAGTGTAAAGAAGAGAAAAAAAGCTCTAACGATCATGGTTTTAACATGGGCGGAGCACATGCTAAACTTATCACAGTAACTACAGTATCACTTTGCTTACCTCACCTGAGAGATCACTTGTAACAAGATGCCTATGAAACACATCAGTTATTGGAAAAGCACTTCCACATAAATAAAAATCAGGAACTAACTTTTTTTTTATCCTCTTATGTTTTCATAATCATAATATAACTTTTTGCAACATTAAACCTAATGTCACATTTTAGACCATTCTGAGAACAGAGATTCAAAATCTGCAGAAGGCCTGCATTGTATTAACAGAGGACCAGATCATCTACAAACATCAGATGGTATTGTTATGCACCAATAATGCACTCGGTTCTACAATTACTGAGCTGTACAGTTAAGTCATTAATATATACTTTAAATGATAAAGGATCCTTTACTGACAGAGTCCCCCCACTTCTCCTGCATGGTCTGACAGGACTCCCAGAATATTCTAACTAATATTCTAACCAGGCTTCCAGGTACAACTCACTTTGATAATTTGTTGAATAACTTGCAGTGGTTAAAGGCTTTGGATGAATCCAGAAAACATAAAAAAAAGTTAAACTCTGACTTTGATGTTTATGTATTTCCTGCAGTGTAAATACACACGTCAATGCCATCTTGGCTTTGAATCCAACCTGATTTCCTGTATTGCTGAGATATGGCCTTAGTCGATTTAGAAGGATCCTTTCAAGTACCTTGGATATGGAGCTGGCCAGGGCTATAGGCCAGTGGTTATTAATGTCACTGAGTTTACATGCTTTATCATTGATAACAGGAACCTATACAATTGACAAGAGGCCATAAGCAATAAAGCAAAAACGCTGTAAAGCAGATGGACAGTAGTGGATACAGCCTGGTACTAAAAGGTATCAAAGACCTCGTGTGGTGTTACTATCACTCTCACATCAGTTACTATGGCTCCTGTATGATTTACATTACTCTTGACACACTCACCCGCTCAGTAAAAATGCAATTATCATTTGGAAAAATGAACCGATTTAGGAACTAGTGCCTTTTTACATTATCCATACATCATAAATAAAGAATCGCATCAATCAGGAGTTGGCTATTTCAATGTCTTGTCATTCATCAATATAAATAGTTTAAAATTGTTAGCAAGAAGCTAAAAAATAACCCATTGCTATAATGATGGTACAAGCTTAAACATTATAAAAAATTTAAAAAACACAATGAAAATTGGCAATGAAACAAGGTTCTTATGGTTCCTTAAAGCTAGAGTTGTCCTGAAGCAACTTTGTCATTTACGATACCGTTATTGTAGCTTTGAGAATTGCTCGATACTGATACGACTCAATATCATATTAACACAAATCCTATCAGCTTTTTTACTAATTTTAAACTGTATTTATAATCTTAGAAAAGACTGAATTTAGTAAAATTGCTAAAACAGGGGAGAAAAGACTACATTTAAAGGTATGAAAGCAAAAAACGGAACAATATCCGACATCAATATCGGATTGGAACATCCCTACTTACAATTTTACCAAAAATAAAGAATAATCATTTTCTAGGTTTTTTATATTTCTTTTATAACTTATCAATATAACATTTTGCCATGGTGGTTGGTTTGCAAATTCAGAAGTATTTGAGTCAAACAAAACCTTAACAGTCGAAACAAAGAAATGCTCTGAATTAAACAAATTTCAAATGATTTACCTTTGAAAACGGTAATCTTAGACAGCAGCAAGTGTACATGTGAGGGAAGCGGAGTAGAAAGTGGCTATGGTTTGTTTTACCTTTATGGTAGAGCCTCTGGTAGCTGGACCATTATACTCAGCTACATAGGCACAGCATGAATAGTGCATATTACACTTGTCTCTATGGTTAAGGCCCCAGATAGTGTTTTAAAAACAAGAACCCGAGACATTTTAGGATTCACCAGAATCCATTGATTTAGCCTGACCAATTATTCTCAAGTCAAAGCTTTTCAACAGCAGGTTCTTTGGTGGACCTTGATAAAAAGCTTTGTAAAAAATAGTTGACAAAGTTGGAATCCCATGTTTTGATTGAAAAATGATGATGATGTAATACTTAAAAAATTAGTTGCACGCAAAACCAACAATTTTAACAAAGAACCTGTAGTGCTTGGCTATTTTTTTCTTTAAAAATAGGCTTATCTGAAATGAAAGCTTAAAAAGCATATTTTAATCACTTTGAAAATGGCAGCTTTAGCCATCATCCTATATTTTCAAAGTTTAAACTTTTATGGCCCCTTCTCTGATGGATAAATACAGGATCAATACCATGAAACATTAGTGAGTTGCAGCCTGAACTGCACCAACGCAAACTTAACAACAGTCAACTGTATTAAAAGGTTTATCCTAAATGTTTTTAAGAACACCTTGTTTTCTTCACTATTAGAACACCAAGGTGAACCAGACTAAATCAAGTAAACATTCAGGGAACAGTTGATTCACTCATTATAATGACCATTTGAATTAGTTTGTGCACAACACTGGATCATTTCTGTTGAGTTGTGAAGACAAAAGTATGATTAAACTGGAGCTTTGATATGTTGTTATAAGGTTATATTTATATTTTTTTTCCCTTTCAGGAATCCAACCCAGTTCAGTTCTCCACCTTATACTCCTCCACACCAAATGCAGAGATCATTTTCTTCTCCTGATAGTCTCCCAAAGCATGCCATGGTAATGCAATTTCTTGACCTGCAAAGTGATTAAGATATAGTAGTTGGACTATAAGAACTTTTAAAACTCAGGTATTGCTTAATGTCATTTTTCTTTGTTTTTTATAGAGGAACAACATGTGGCAGCTCCATATGCAGCAGCTTGAGCAGCTCAACGGCGCCTTTTCTAAATCGGCCCAGCAGCAGTCTGGTGGAAGTTCGAGACGCGGGGACTTAAGGCAACATGACGGCGATCACAATAGGCATCATCCATCCCAGATGAACAGTGGTGGGAGGAGTCAGCGCCATGGAGACGAGCACGGCTCTGGTCGCCGTCAGCACCACGGCCGGGACTACTACTACCATCAGAATGACAGGAGCGGTGGCAACCGTCAACACGACAGCCGAGGTGGAAACAGACATTATGACGAATGGGCTGGGAACCGTGGCCAGAGAGAGCATGATAACAGATGGCGACGCTACTGAGTTACATTTAAGATTTTTGATAAAAATTCAGTTCTTCACATTTTTTGTGAACATTTCTTTTAAGAAAATCTGAATATGTTAAATCATAGTTTTGTAAATGATCTTACAAGGTTGAAGATTTAATAACTCATGCCTTTAAAGCCTCTTTTAAAGGTGTTTTTAAATTGAAACATTTCTGGGTTTTTTTCCTCGCTGTTATCAATATTTGGAAAGTGATTTGAGCAAAAAAGATTTATTGACTGGAAGTGAATTTTGGACAAAAAAAAAGACTTCAAAAGATGTAAGATATGAACCAGTTTTATGTTTATGCAAAAAATCTCAACGGTGCTCCTAATAATGGAAAGAAGTTTTCAGGTACTTTACAGAAAAGAACATCAAATTAAGCTATAGATTTCACCAGCAACATTGAATCACAGACAGGGCACCACCCTTTTTGAATTTTTAGATCAACCTTGCTCTTTCCGGCAAATGGGCTTTGTTTTACTTTTATGTGGATTTTATTTTTTAACCTCCGATCTGTAAAACATTCTGTTTTAAAATGAACACTTTCACTATAAAGCTCTTTTCACTTGACTCTTGCATTGTCGTTAATCTGGCTTCAACACAGATGCCTTTGTGAGTCTTTGTTGTTATTCATAAATGCTATTTACAGCTCATGGTTTATAAAGAGGATATTGTATGTTGACTCTTACATGCTGTAATGCACGCCACATGGCCTTATCTGCACCTATAAATGGATCCAGTGTAACTAATATGCTTGTACAGGGTCCTGAAGTAATCTACAGGTGGCGCCACACACATCCATTTACTGAATCAATTAAGAAGTTAAAAATAACCGAGCTACATGATCGGCTCCTGCATTTGACCTTTTCTATTTATGATGCTTTCAAGTCTTAAATTGGATCCCACTCCCATTCTTTCAACTTGGCAGCACCTTATTGCCAGATTTATTTCTTGCTTTGCATTGTCCCAGCCTCCCTTTTATTAAAACTTTTTTTCCCTGCTACTTACAAAAAAAAGACCAAGTTTTTAGCGTTTATGGATGAGAGAAAAAAAAAGGTTTGGCTTGTTTCCATTCCTAAATTAGCAGCGCTTGGAAACACAAGCGTCATGTTGCAATCTGCCTTTAATCGTCGCTACTTCAAACCTGTTGCTTAAGTAACAGAACATATTTTCATCCTCATCTGTCCGACAGTTTCAACTTTAACCGTCGCAATATTAATTAAAGCCCTCATCTTTTAATAAACTTTCAAGAAACCAAAGGGTGCATCAGTTTTCGCAGCCTTTGAACCAGGCTCCATCTCTTGCTTCTAATCTGCCCTGGTATCCGATTACATCCTGATCCTCCCAAATCGCTCTAATAGAGAATATCCTCACTTCGGTGTCGGTAGGCCTACCGGGAAGATCTATATAACGCTTCTGACTGTGGCATAACTCTGTTAATTGGTTGATCTGCATGGCGTCTTCAGCGCTGGATAGGATTATAGGGGCCACTCTGCAGCCGCTGCTGTTTGGAGCTGAATAGAAGCGCGGCTCCTGAAATGATCCCACCTCTAAACCCCCCCGGAAAGCCATCCGTTCAGAAGCTCCGCAGCGCAGATGACCTGCGCCAAAAGCACCTGCAAACGGTGCACAAATAATTATCTTTAAATCAGTAGTCAGAATCTGTTTACTGATAGGCGGTAAAAAAAAATTCCTAATTTATCTATCATATTTCATCAAATTTGACATGTTTTTTTTTCTTTTTTTTTTACTGACTTGTTTGATCAAGCCCCCACACAAATACTACTTTATTACTTAATTATTACTGTATCCTGCTTATTATAAACGTGTAGACAAAAAGGCATGGTCTGTACTGTACAGAAATGTGAAAATCTAGTCCTAAATTTGATTTTTTTATTTATTAAAAATGCTATTAATCTGAACGTTTATTATTGATCAGGGTATCCATTAAACATATATATTTAGGGTCTGTATATAAACAGGTTTTTAAGGTAGGGAAATAAAATATTTGTGTTAAGAGGAAAGAAGATGGTTTTCGTTTTGAGTCTTGCGCAATTCAACCTGCTGCGATTTGTGAGGTGAGATAAACGGGAAACGGCTCTAAAATAATCCTAACAACAATAATCATGTTGAAAGGCTATTGGATGGAAATCTTAAAAAAAAAAAAAAAATCGTCTTTAGAAAAAACGAAAAACAAAGAAAAAACCCTCATTAATTGGCTTCTTGATGTGTTTCCTAGATGCTTAGAAAAACACAAAACATATAAGTCTTCACAGAAAAAACAAATATAGAGTAAGAAAATATGTTTTAAAAAACTGGTCTAAGTGAACCATAACCTGAACCAGATTATTATTATTATTCAACTATCTTATTAACAGTTTTTTTTTTTTTTTTTTTTTACAAATACAGCACATACAGTTTTTTTGTTTTCGTTCATCTCCAATGCAAACTTTGGAAAGACAAAGATAACCGAAACTGCTTGAAATGAACTAGGCCTACTTCTTATCATAATTCTCCAAATAAACATTTTAAGCTGAGTCATATTGTTAAAATAAAAAGAAACGCACATATAGGAAACAGTATCACCGCTCATTCTTTAGCTGTCGCCTTATTTGTGTTTGAACTTGAGGCTTGGTTTTGTTCAGAGAGGTGGAGGTCTTTGGGATGTGTCCTTGTGTGTTTATGTGTGTGTGTGAGAGAGAGAGAGAGGGAATAGGAGTTCAGAGATGAGTCGCCTACTCGGATGGTTTATATAGCAGAGGGTGTGAGCGCTGCGTATTACCACAGAGGCAATCTGCGCAGCTCAACTTTAAAGGCTGTGGATCTCCAGCGCGACGCATTCTCTGAACAGGAGCAAAAGCCGCATTTTGAGATAAAAATAATAATAATGACATCTATAAACGCCTGAACTTCTCCACCTACATGTTTTCCCGACATTAAAACCTGCAAGCTTAAATATTTTAAGACGCGTACGGCTCTGTAGCAACCAGCGAAAAGAGCGCACCAGGAACGCACCATGCACTGTCAAGCCGAGCTGAGGCTCTCTTCCCCCGGGCAGCTGAAGGCGGCCAGGAGGCGCTACAAAACTTTTATGATAGACGAGATCCTCTCCAGGGAAACTTGTGATTACTTTGAAAAACTGTCTCTGTACTCCATGTGTCCTTCTCTCATCGTCCGACCAAAACCTCTTCATTCATGTTCAGGTAAAACGCTCAAACTTTACTCATTTTCTGCTTTGCAGGGAATGATTTTGTTAAAGCTGATTCATAAATCATTTTTTTCTAATGCTGTAAAATTAATTACATTAAATAAAAAATTGTAACTTGCACAAATTTAATTTTGCTAAAACGAGTAAGATTTGTGAGAGAATGTGATAAACTGATCAATGGGAAAATTTATGGATGCTATAATTATTTTTTATCTTTCTCTGTCTATGCACAGCTTCAGCAACAAATTATTTTTTATTAACCTATCACGTGCATCAATTAGTTCATTAACTCAAATGTATACCTTACACTAATTGTTTTATTGCAAGACTAACAATTTTCCCTGATAATTTAGTGTTTTTTTTAATCTCTTCACAAGAGATTTCTTAACACACCGCTTATCTCCATGAAGCGTTAAGCGTTGTAAATCAAAGACAAGCAGTTGAGTCAGGGAGCGTCAGTGATGCTTGAGGGCTTTTGTTGAGCGCAAATGATAAATGGCCCAGTTGATAAGCGGCGCAACTAAAGACAGGTCATCTAAGGAGGCAAGTGGGACGGTGACAGATAGGGAAAAAAAATCTAGATCCCTACGCAGAAACATTTAAGCTGTTTGATTTTGTTCTTTTTGAATTAATATGACTGTTGCGTTGACCATAATGGCCCTCCGTAATGACTTTTACCGCTGCTGGACATTTTACGCATAGATGGATGGCATGTTGTTGGTTTGGTGCGCGCGTGATAAACATATCCGTAAGAAACTTGCATGTCAAAGTAAATCCCTTGGAAGCAATAAAATCAGATTAAATGCCTTGCTGATTTTTAAATACTTTTTTTTATTAATTTTTTTTTTTTACTAGGCCTTTATATTTTAGGCAACTCATCTCAGATAATGTAGATTATATGGATTGATAGAAATAGGTTAGAAAATGCAACTGAAATGAGGCATCCTAAGGCTTTATTTTCACACTATAAATCATTATCATAATTGCTCTAAAGTCTGAAATAATAGCCACAACAATTTGATGATGACAGCGCCGTGCCTGGATATAAATAGGTAGAAGCCATTCCCTCATCCATCTGATATAGATTGGTAATGCTTGAGGGAGCTGTGACTGACTGGGCTTTGACACCCCCTTTTTTCAGATGGATAAAGTATCCCCCTCAGCTGCATATGGGAACACTCTGCGCACCGCTTATTTGTAGCTGAAGGGGTTTTGGGGTCGCATAGTGCCTATAGCGTAAATTGCTTTTAAGGCTCGATAAAGGTGAATAGCCTCTAAATCGAATGAAATGTTTATTTCTACATATTGCAGAAGAAAAACAAGCGATGTTATTTCATCCTGTTGCCAGCGGAGGCCGCTGAAAGACAGTCATGCCAGCAATGTTCTCCACAGGGGATGGTAACAAGTGATGCCTTACGTTGTCTGTTATCTGCTTCTCACTTAAAGAAGCAAACAAAAACAGCAAACCTCTGTGTGGGAGAGTTTTTTTGCTTCTAGGATAAAAGACAAATCTGCTTTTTAAGGTAAAACAGTCAGAAATCAGATCAGAGGCAGAGGGCCTAAGCAGAACCTGAAATTACACCCAAATGCAATGTCACTGACCCTAATTTTGTATTCTTCACACTTAATTATTTTTAGTCTGCACTAGTAGTCAGCCCACAGTGAATCAACTATAAATTATAATTTGTTTTGTTTACTTATATCAGTCACACCATATTATTTATGAAGCAAAGAGGGTAAAGGATGCAGAATACTATTTGATCCCTCATAATGATTCAGTTTAGCATTAAAAATATAGAGAGCTTTTCTAAGCTCAGATGCCACAAGGTGGAAAAGATCAGACAGGATCTCTTTCATTACCTTTGCTTTATTATTTGATTTAAGAAATGTAGGCAGGCTTGATAGTTTGTTTTATAAATATTACAAATAATACCTTTTCTTTACATTGTTATTTAACTGGATAAAATATACCTTTACATGGAACAAAGTTGGACATGTCACTCTCAGACGTCATAGATGGCCTTATTTAAAAGAAGTAAAAGGCTGATTCGATTAAAGCTTGGGGAATTTGGCTTTCAGCTCATTAAAGTTAATGATTTATTTGTAATTTACACTGCTATGATAAAGCGTATCATCTCTGTGCTGCAAACATTGGGGTTTTGCATTTATTTACACACACACACACACACAAAAAGTTACTATCAGATTTTTTCTTTTCACCATTACTGCAAAGAATGATCACCAAATACACATTTACAATGAGTCGAGTAAATCAACTTAACCCAACATGAAAGATGAGCTAGAGTATGTAATTAATTAGAACATAACATGTGAGATCTTTTGTAGCGAGAGGATGTGCGGATATCAACAAACCAGCAAATTATGCAATTAAGTACTCTGGTCTGTTTAATCGCTTGTAGAGTGCTTGGTGTACATTACACTGGGTCTTTCTGTCATCTGTATGACTGCTATGTTTGTATGAACAACTAGCTGAAGAGATGTAGTGTTCAGCTGCAGTAACAACTTTAGCATGCAGGACTCGCTTGTGGATGGTCAGCCTTTGGTTTCAAACATGTAACTTTCACATTTAAGTTTTTTATAAACCACCTTTAGAACTTTTTTCTTTTTCAATCCTATCTGTTTCTTTTTTTTCTTTTTGTTTTTTGGTCATCAAATGCCTTGATTTAAAAGTTAAAGCTGATGCAGATTGAGAGAAAGGAAATGGAAGACATACAGAAAAAGTCCCGGGAGCAGATCCCAGCATGGCTGTTTCCAGGACTGCGTTGCATGTTCTACCCCTGCACCACAGCCACACCCCCATCTTTTTCCTTACATTTTTACAATCTAGAGTCAGTATTTATGACCAGATGTGATGCAAAGTTCTTTATGCTCTATTTTTTTAAACCTATTTTAATTTTCTTTTCCAAAAATAAGTAATTTCAGTATATCTCCCTATAGTATAAGTTTCAAACTATCCAGGTTTGTCCCTTTTTGTGTACATTAGTCAACCGTTAAATGGATCCAAGTTTTCTTGGAGCCCTTAGGCTGACATAGAACCTTAGGTTGTCATGAAGTTCACCATTACCTCTATATGCACCTGGATCAGAGACATTAAGGCCTGACCTGTAGCCTTAACAGCAAGCAACCTGATGGAGGGTTACACTATTTCATTTGGAGGCCCATCCATCAGCAGGAGCCAGAGCAGAGAGTGCTTAGTGGTGTTTTCTGGCAGTGGTGAGAGAGATTAAGATCAACTGTGGTGTAATCTTTCTTGACAGCATAATGACAAATATACATAAAGAGCAGGAGTGCACGGAGCCCAGTGCATAGCTGGCTCTGATGGAGCTTACATGGAGCCCAAGAGAGCAAAAAAGACGTTTTCATCCCATCTTAAGGTGTAATCCACTTCAGACAATGAACCCACCCATTAGGGATAAAGTTGACTAGAGGCGGCCGATAACACCCGTGTCAACGTGCAGGCGAGCATACGCTCACACACACACAAAGAAACACTCTTCCATCTTCAGTTGAGGATAATGTTTGACAGCTTGTCAGCTCCCTGGTGTTACTCCTTTCATTGTAACCATCAGATATTTCCATCCCTGAAAGGAATGAGCAATTAATCAGATCTAAAGTGGTTTATGCAACATGTTGATTTCTGCTGCACCTGTGTACCACATGTTAAACAAGTTTTTAGGTGAGCAACCTTATATTTTAAAATCTTAGCTAAACACTGGATCGTCTGTTCAAGCCTCTAGTCTTTTAACACAAAGAAGTATGAGAGGTGAAGTATAACATCATTACAACCGTGGTTTAATGAAGAAAGCACCTGGCTTTCAAAGTTATGCTTAACTAGGTGCTTTTCCTTAGCTATTATTAGCAGCTGAGCCTGCTGTAATGGTTACTATAAGCACTTGTTCCAGTTCCTACATTCCAACTGTGATTATCAGGAGGATCCATGTGCCTTTGCAGGGGCCCCGAGTTGCGTTCCTGCAGCTCCTCAAACAGTTTATTTGTAGACTATTGACAGGACACCGACGCTTGTCAGCAGCATGTCACTGAGCTGGCTTTGCCGTTAGTGGAAAGTCACCACGAGGCCTGACATTTCTCTCTGTGGTCTCAATGTTCTGGAGATGGGGGGCAGGAAAAGGGGGCATTTGGAGGCATCCTCGAGCTCTTCACTGACAAAAGATTTCCCGCGAGCTGTGAAGACAGAAAAAAATCGAAGCGCCATTCTTCCTCGGGGAAGACATAAGTTGATGTTTGGCCTTCCATGAATCACAGTTCACTAAATGTCAGTGTTAAAAATTTCCTCCTACAAATGAGTGAAAACATTTCAGTCAGATTATTTATTAGTAACATAAATATGGACTTGACATACAAAAAGAGACAGCTAGAGAGAAAAAGACTGACAACATAAATGGGAGGCAAGAAACAGAGCAGGAAGAGACAAGGCGAAAAAGATGGCTTCTTGTTCAGGCTTGTTGCAAACCAGCAATCCAACATCGAAGGATTAGTGGTGACCTCAGCGCTTTACCATGATGTCATGATCAGCCTTAGGCAGTATCTGATGTGTGTGTATGCGTGTGTGTGCCTGTGAGCAAGGTAACTGTGGCTACCCGCATGAAGCCATTTATTTCCTCATTACTGATGAGTATCTTGAAACAGAATTTATTAAATCTTTATGCTCAGGAGTCACTATTAGAAAAGGTTGTTGTTTGTTTTTTTTCCGAGGGTTGTCCTTTTTCTGCGTTGAGAAGGTTAAACTATTACGTTTATTCATAAAATAAGAAATTTGTAGAATAAGCCATGATGGTTTTTTTTTACCTTTAGGTATCCATTCCTTCAGATGAGTCTGACTTTTTATTGATTCTGGCGTCTGCAGGTCATGTGGTCTTGTACGTGAGGCTAAAGAGTATTTTAATTGCAGATAGTAGGGAGCTGAAGATGATGTAAGACAGAAAAATAGATACAAGGAATTGCTTTTTGGAAATTATATTAAAGCCTTGTAACAAACGTATGGTATTCTATAAATGTGTGCATATTTTGTCTATGAAATATTATTAGTTTTAATAAACTTTGAAAAATCGCCCTTGAGCTGAAAGGATCAGGGGTCAAGTGTGAAACAGCCCCTACGTCATGGAGGCTGCAGCCCTCTACATGCTGGAGGTCAATGCCACACTACTTTTCATGGTGACACAATGAGGGTGTCTGAGAAACCAGAAGCAGTCATTGTTAGTGTCATTAAAAGCTGAACAAGCAGGACGCTTAAATGTTTCAACTAACCATGTGGTTGTTTTGTTTAACTGTAGAATTCTTGTGTACCCACTGTTTTCTGAGCTCCTGCACTGTCTGTACTCTTCCAGGCTCCTCGCCGCTGCGTGGCTACCCACTTCTTTCAGTGATCACGCGGCAGCCCCCTAATGTGCAGCCCCATCTGCCGCAGCCATCATCCCCGGGCGCGGCCTTCTCCCACCTTCCCCTCATCTCCCCGCAGCTCCCAAGAGGCTCCGAACCCCCGCCCAGCCAGACGCCCCTCAGCATCAGCAGTGAGTCAGAGACAGAAAGCAGCACGCCCCGCCTGAAGAAGCCCCGCCGCAGCCGCACCATCTTCACCGAGCTGCAGTTGATGGGGCTGGAGAAGAAGTTCCAAAAGCAGAAATACCTGTCCACACCCGATAGGTTAGTAGAGTCTAAACACATAAATCATCACACTGTTTTTTATATTACAATGAAATTTTTTTATATCCCACTGATTTTTTTTTTTACAATTAACTAACTGCATTTAAATGATATATTATGGCAAACCCTCATAGCTACCAAAAAAATGTTATTCCCAAAGATGGAAAACATGACTCAAATAAAGAGTAATTTGAAACTCCTCCACAGGTATTAAATAAACATAATGTACTTGCTACCAAAGCCATATAAATGTCACTCCGTGCAAACATTTTGACAGCCTGTGTACTTTAATTGAGCGCATTTTTAAACGATCACAACAAACACCCACGCTCAAGGACATTCACAGGGCCGTAAATGCACATATCAAGCAGTACTTAACTTAACAGCATAATTTTTGATTTATCCCGTGGGGATTGCCTTATTTAAAATGGATCCAACTGAGCCAAAACATTACCTCAATATTCTAGTTGGGACAAGAGTTAACGTTTTAACACTGAGCTCCACCAAGAAAGCTTCAATGGAGAAAATGTTTCTTGTTCACAAAACGGAGGGACAGTGGCCAACCCCAACAAACAGCAACATACTGCACAGATTTACTGCCAATCATTTCACTCATGCACAGGTGTACATAAAGGACATTTAGTTTTAGACAGAGAGGTGAAGTAATCTAAACGTTAATATGTGTGTCTTATGTTCCATACGACTGATTTTAGGTTACAACATTTTTTCCAGCTGTACTCCACTTTTAAATTTAGCCTGCTGGCTACTTTTCCATTTAAACCAGGAGTGGGATTAAGCCATAAAGGTTGTAAATAGCTTTTCTTCACCTGCAGAGAAAAAAAAAAATTCAAGCCATTTTAACAGACCCCCTCATCCAGCAACTTTAGTTCACACGTTTCTAATCATTGGCTAAAAAAAACAACTGAAACATTAAAGAGCTAAGTTTGCAAAAAATCATCGTATTAATCATATCAACAGTATAATTAGTCACATCAACATGAAAAAAGCTACTTTGTTCAGGCAGATATTGCAAAGTGTTTTTATTGCTTCGGGCTCCTTTCTAAAAATATATTTGCATACAAGTAGCCAGATTGATTTGTGTTTCATATTTATAATCTCTGTGGGTAACAGCTCCCACAAAACATTATTAAATGCATCACACATTGGCTTCCCTGTAGCTACTGGAGGTACCGCGAACCTAATCCTAAAGCAGAAGCCCTGAGGCAGAGCTCAGGGATTAAAACCAACCATCCGTATGAATCGCCGTGCCAACCTTTGGTGTTCTGTCAAAATATCAGATTCTGACACCGTGTATGGAGTTAATTAAATACCCAGATAGAGCAAAAACACTAGCTGAGAAAATCCCTTTTTAGAGCCGCACATCAAAGACGTGGCATGCTCCCTGCTTGAGTTTGTTGTGATCCAAAGATAACTTCTCTTTCCTCTTGTTGCTCTTCATGTGGAGCCTCTGCGGTCTAAAACTCAAGCTATGTGTGGGAGCAAGTGTAACCAAAACCAAATATATCCCTGAAAAGACTTAAGTACCTGTCAGCACAACTTAATGGTTTTATGAATCGTTTCAATAGACTGTGTTTGGGGTTTGATCATCATCCCTGTCATCATCTTCATTATTGCTGTTTTCATAAACATATTTGGTAAAACAGTAAATGGAACAAAAAGGAGCCCAAAGGAAGTGACTCAAACTCTTTCATTTGCTGGGGTTCCGCCCTTTGATTCCTAATAACTGTTAATACATTTTTTTGGCTTCTAATGCTACTTCCAGTTGTTGCCATGTTTGAAAACTGACTCTGATAGGCATCGGTCACGCTCAGTGTTTTTAATATCTTTTTTTTATCTAGGTTATGATATACAGCCATTATATATGTTATGATAAAAAGTCTTGTGAATCTATTTTTTTTCTTTTGTACTGTTTTTATTTAAATTATGCATGCTTTTTTTTCCCTGACTCATGTTCTACTGTCACCATCAAGTAAAAGTCAGGTTTCTCCCCTGAGGGGTTCAAAAACATTTAACCTGGCTGATAAAGGCCTTTTAGAAGAGCAGGAAGGAGGAAATCCCACTTAAAAAATATAACCTTTCTTCCCCTGTAACATAGAATCCCCTTGTTAACTTTATCTGTGACTTCCTGAGGTTTTGCATTACACTTACAATTGGTCATGCATTGCCACATGTGGTGGATGCATTGAAGAGCAGCCCTAATAATATAGGCTGACTGGATTGCTGCAGACAACTTTTTTTCTGTGTGTTCCCTGTTAGATTCAAAGCCTGCTTAGACTGAAAAATACTTTTTAGACTAAACTTAACTATATAAGAGTGTAAAATAGAGAAAATCAATCTATATGGAGAACTCCATATAGGCCTGTGCCGATTAAAGTCTAACCAAATAGTGGGTTGCAAAGAACAATTCACTCCGGACTTGAACCTAACTAAAATGTTTTGGTAAAATTAAAAAAATTATTTTTATCTATACCCTATTACTATAGAAGATATAAGGAGATTTTCTATTAATAAAGGCAGTAATAAAAAATTTTCTGATAGTTTTATAAAAAAAAAACAGTTAAAATAAGATGTATTATATGTTTTTGTATCTCCTTGAAACACCTTTGTTAGAAAGTTCAAAATAAACCATTTATTAGAAATAAATGTAGCGAATACAAAAAAAAGTCGAAAAACAATAGTGAAAAAATGTTTACATTATAAATAAGCATTAGTTATTGACATATCTGTATCGACTGTATGAGCAATCGAGAATTCCATGTTTAAATGTTAAGTACTGCTAATACAAGTTTGTTTGACATGGCAGGTAAACAAAAAAGGTGATCTGGAATAAATTTTGTTTAAGAAAAAGCACAGAAGTATTTTTTCAAGTTAACAATAAGAGCAAGCTTGATATACTGAAATGTTTCAACCCTGCCAGTATAATATTAAGCTGTTTTTCCTAATGTATTCTTTAATCGTAGGTTTTTTGAGGAGGTGTTCTTCCACCTGAAAAGTAAAAATAAAAGAAATTAACCATTATATGCATCTGATTTTGTTTTTTTTATGTTTTTTTTCCCCCAGATTGGATCTTGCTCAGTCTCTAGGTCTGACGCAGCTTCAGGTGAAGACGTGGTACCAAAACAGGCGTATGAAATGGAAAAAAATGGTAAGACTGGCAGTTTTAGGTACCATTAGTGAACAATTTAACAGTTTTTTTTTTTAACTTTTCATTTTTTCTGTAGATGTTTTAAATAATTTTATTACAACAATTACCTGTTTACCTGAATTACATTGGCATTATACACTTAACATACATATACATAACAACCAGGTCAGTGCTGGTTCTGACAGACCTAGGACATCAAGAAAAATGTAAAAATGCTGACACATTAATTTTATCTGCTAGTGTAGAGATGTAGACGTGTTGATTGGATCTAAGCTGATTTTGTGGGACCTTATACTCGTTTCACATTTGTTATAATGCGTGTTTCCTAACCTTCTTTGTCATGGTGGCTGTTTATTGGGATAGTGAGTAATGAAATTAGCAAAATTAATACGTGAAACATGCTGCCTTTTTCAGGCAGAGCCAGCCATGGAATTTTCTGACTTGTTCAAAATCAGTTATATAATTGTGCATCAAATATGCAGGAGAGCAATGTTGGAGCATTATTTACCTAAACCAACAGTATTCTAATTTAAAGTAAGATTTGGTAAACTTAAATCTGGTAGATAGCAATATGATAGATATAAAATCTGGTTCATCTAAGACTTTCTCTGTTTTCTTTATTTGTTTTTATGTGGAGATGATTTACTCTAAATTTGCATGCTTGTTCAAGTCTAAAATTTGAATAAAGTTAGCAGCATATAGGCATATGGCAGGAAAAGAAGGTGTGGGAGAGCTAGGGCTTGACTGATGATGATTGCAGTAAGAGCAAACACTTTTGTAGAAGGGTCAACAACCCAGAGAACAAAAAAGACCTGAAATCGTTAAAGATAAATGAGTGCACAAGGCCCAGCAAGCAGCAATATGTCTTCTCTTAATTACTATAATAGCAAGCATTGCCTTTGACTCCTGCTACCATTTATTACCCGCTCCCTCCTCTAATGCTGTCTGTGTGTTTTTCTAGGTGCTTAAAGGAGGTCACGAGGCCCCAACCAAGCCCAAGGGAAGACCAAAGAAGAACTCCATTCCTACCACAGAGGAAATAGAGGCTGAAGAGCGAAGACTGAAGATGGAGGAAGAGGAGCAGATGAGGAGGGGGTTTGATGAACATCAGGATCTGAGTTCAGAAACTACAAATCCGAGCGGAGCAATCGAGGGATCTGATTCTGAGCAAGACCAGAAGCCACTCCTAATGTCAGAAACTCACTTAGCCAGCTAAGCAAGAGCAAACCAACCAAGGACTAATGCCAGCCTGAAAACAAATAGTGCCTCAGGATCAGTGTACAAAGCTTGTTTGGTGTATAGAGTCGTTTGCTTTAACAGGATGACTGGATGCAGTGCAGTGGCGCCCAGTCCGTACCAAGTGCACCCTTATATGTTTTATTGTACTGGAAAAAGTATTATAGAAAAACATTATGCTATTACGCAATGATTACACTGGTAATCCTATGGGCTTTGGTCCATATTATAAAGGAGGGTCACTGTCAAACCCAAAACAGGTCAGTTGAGCCTTCATCAGAACATGGTGACACATATTGCATGCTCAACCAGCTTGCAGACACCTCTCAGCTCTCAAAGCTGTCAAATATCCAACGCTGCCTTATAGTGGTAAATAAGTGTCTTTGTATGAATAACCAACTGCCAAATACTGTTAATATGTGCCTTTTTAGTCTCAGAGAAGAGCTTTTATTTGTGGGTAAAATAACCTTTAAAAGGCGGTATATTTTTTACAATCAAGTGCCAAATTTGGAGACAGATTTTTACAGATAAGCAAATGAAACCTAAATGTGTAGGTTTAAATTATACTGTACAGCTTTGAGTCTCAAATGTCTATTAATTGGGTCAGGTTTTTATATATATTTTATTTTAAAGCTAAAAACTGTCAATTTTAGATACATATATATATATATATATATATGTGTGTGTGTGTGTGTGTGTGTGTGTGTGTATACTTAGAATATGTGTACATGAGTGTAAGTATTAAATATTTTTTTTGCTGTTTTGGATTGAATTAAGATACTTATTATGCATAAATGTTTCAAGCACCCCATCCACTGTGTTTCTTCTTTCAGTCAGGATGATTTTCAGTTACGAGGGCACTAAGACTCTTAAGCTGTCATGATTCATTGAGGGAATAAATCACAGCCTGAGCCATAAATACACAGCAAATGTTGAACATTTAAAATCTCAGAGACATTTTCAGCCTGCAGGCTTTGCATGACTACCCCAATTGGTATGTTAGACCTGCATTAACATAACACTGTCTTCAGATTCCCCTTAGTGACTTCTCTGTTCCATCAATCTCTCTAATGTTGAATACTCACCACTTTAAGGAATCACTGTTTGGATTATAGGAGTTTATTTTTATGTCTTTGTTCATATGAAAACTGCAGTATTTTCCTGATGTAAATTATGCTTGTCTGGTAAAACGTGTTATTGACTTTCTTTTTTTTTAGATCTTCATAAAATTACATTTTGGTATATGCAATTGTGTGTTTATGTATTTAAATACACTTAATAAAAGAGCTGTCATTTAAACTGTGCTTTTTATTATTATGCTTCAGTTTCTTGGAGCTAAGGTTGTTGTAGCAGCCATTTCAATTTTATTATTTTATTATATTCTGGTATCTATGTAAGGAACAACCTGTATCGGCCCCATCACATTCTTAAGCGCCACTTGCCCGCACATTCAGTATTAATCACTTAAAAACTTGCTCTTCTTGTTTGCTGTTGGTGTGTAAGTAAAAACAATTTGGCCATGAATTTACTTACAAGAACCTTTGAAATTCAATTCTTAATGCTCTGATGGTAAAAGGATAAATCAAGAAGATGCAGCAGCTCTGACAGGTTCTTCTTGACGGGTCCATTACTAATGGAGCTTTTGAAGATCTATGATCAATTGCAAAAAACAACACTGTAAATCATTTTCAAGGGAGTATATTCCAGAAATACAGGCATTTTAAGCACTCAGTGTTGTAACTTTTCTCTTTTTTTTTGTTAAAGTGCACAATTTCCTCTTAGGTTTCTCGGGGCATGTGACGAACAGGCTTGGGTGTATTTTTAGTGCTCATACCGGACGCAGATGATTTCTAAAGCAAACACAGCAGGTTAGTATTGAGCAATGCAAACTGTGCTTTGCCGCCTTGGGTAAACATTCGGAGGATGTTTTAAATGTGTTCAGCAGCAGAACCCCCCCCCAACACATCATTGAAGTATTTAAGTCCTCAGTCTGTAAAGTAGATATGGCTGTTCAGATTTTCGTTGAGCAAACAGAGAGTTAACCTTTCATTTGAATTCCAATCCTTTAAAACTTTAATGTACACTGTTTCATATTCTACTTGTGTTTTTCTGTTAGATTTTTTCATTTTAGTTAACAGCATAACTGCACTTACCACAAAAAAGGATACCTATTTCAGCAACATCGAAACCATGTGTTTCTAAAAACATAAACAACAAAGATTCAGTAAAACAATGCAATACATTTAGAAAAGAATGATTTATATCAGTGTAAGCAAGACAACTGTACTTCCTGGATAAGCATGCTCCTATATTCCTTTTTCATCTAGCTCCGCTGCACAAACGCAACCCACTCAAAGATATATAGCATTCACTATTGCTTTTTAGGGGGTGATAATGTTCTATTTTATATACCATACACTCAGCTGAAAAGAAATAATAAAGTGTACTGATGGTACAGTGGACTAGCACCTGTGAACCCTTTTTATGGGCCCATTAGGAATTCTGTTTTGAGCAACTTTTACAAGTTGGTACATGAAGCCATACCATCAGGAAAGCAATGGTGGATGACGTACTGAACGGTAGTACTTGAGTAAAAGTATTGATGCCCACAGTCAAATCTTACTAAACTACAACTAAAAATTACTCAGTCAAACATCTACCCAAGTTACAGTATTATGTACTCACTTCTGAAAATATTAAGTAATCAAAAGTACATGCATTTAGAAGTACATCAGTATAAAAAAATAATGCAAAGTAAATTTTCTAATATTCTTAAATTTCTGTATAATTTTCAGAATTATTTATCTTGTAACTTTCACAAACTATCTGATGTTTTGATGCATAGAACCACTCTACTACAAATTCTACACCACCTGTAAAGAACTTCAGGATACAAATGCATAAAAAAAAAATGAGGAAAGATATTTTGATTATTATTTGATATTTAAAAACAAACCAAAAAGAAAGAAAACAGGAGTCTTGATTCTCCTCACGCTTTCACTATGGAATAGAGGCTCAATTTTAAATCTATTAACACAGAAAAAAGGTAACTCTGCTTTGAGGACTCATCCTACTGAACAACTTGGCCACATGGCAACAACTAACACCTTAATATAATTTATAAACTAAAAAAAATATCTGCCCTGAGTTTCTCACATTTGTGCATTGCCGTGCAAATCTCTAAAACATTGGTGTTCAAATTCATTCCTAAGGGCTGCTATCTTAAACGTGGAAATTTAATTTCAAGGAAGAAAACGGCAACAGCAGATTTAAAAGCTAAGCTGAGCCTAAAGGAACAAGTTACTAACACCATCCTCAAATTGTAGTGAAGTAAAAACAACAATATTTGATTTTGAAATGTAGTGGAAAATAGGGTTAAAGTAATGCAAAAATACTCAAATATATTACTGCAGTACTGAGTCACTGTCCTGCAAACAGTAAGCCTGGGTTTGTATCCCAGCTGGGGGGAATGAACTGCCAGTGTGGGTCCTTAGGCAAGACCCTTCACGCAAATGCCTGCTTTGGGGAGTGGCGGCCTAGTGGTTAGGGCATCGCGCTTGGAATCCTGAGGTTCTGAGTCCGAGCCCCACTCCCATGGACTGCCCCTCTGGGTCCTTGAGCAAGACCCTTAACCCCCACACTGCTCCCTGGGCACCACACAATTGCAGCTGCCTGCTCCCCAAGGGGATTGGTTAAATATGTTAATTAGTTAATGTAATGACAAGAAAAATGCTAGAAAGAAATAGTACAGTAATCAAGTAAGTGTACTTTGTTACTTTCCACCACTACAGAAAAGCACGTAGCACCCCCAATAAAGAATATTAAATTTAGGTTAATGTTGTTAGCAGTCATAAGAAACTGTAAATGTTTTGAATAACTCATCAGTTAATGTGTTGTCTTTATGTAGTATAATTTTTTAAGGAGATTCGTAATCCAGCAGGCATGGAGACAACTCTAGATGGAGCTAAATCTTGCAAGCCTCTGCATGTTTTTGATGTTCCTCTGGGCTAATTGTTGTGTGGTTAGATAAGCCTTACAGAAACAGTGCTGTAGTGATATACCTGCAGTCTAATTGGACATCTTTTTGTTTTCTCACCAGTGCAAGTTTGGTTATAGGTCACTAAAGTCCAGTTGTTTCAACCTTTGCCAGCCCCTCTCCATCATCTCCAAGACATCAACTGCAGACCTTCACCTGTCAGCTTAGCGTATGCTCAGGTAATTAGCAGGGTTTGGAGGGAAGAAGGAGGGAGGTCATCACTCACTGTTTCAGCTGTTTAGTATAATGACAGCAGATGTTATCTCTGAATGTAGAGTGTAGGAACAGCAAATCTCTAGTCATTAAAGGCGGATGTCCTCTACAGCATTTTTTTCTTTTGTGTTTTGTTACCCTTTATCTGCTAAGAAGAAATATGTTTTCCTTCCAAAATAAAAGAAGAGATTGTGCAGTAACTATCATATTTTTCTGTATGTTAGAATGGTTTCATCTCAAAATAGGCTCCATGAAAAAACAAAACCGGATAGTTCCTGATCACGCTATTAAAAACTTCCTTTAAAAGCTAAAATTCAAATACCGCTACCACTAAATACCATTTTAGGTGCAAGAGCTATAGTTTGAAGAGTAAGTACTTAAAATATCATGACAGTACTGCTTTGTCTAAACTTTATTGATGTTTTTGCAAAAAAGATTCAAGAAAAGATTTATGACATAATACATCTTAATAGAATATATGCAAATATTTAAGCAGTGACAGGATTTTTTCTTGTCATTGCAGGGCTTCTGACTCTAAATAATTTTTCTGAATAAGCCGTTAGCAAATCACGCTTTATTTTCTTGCCAGGATCTTATGAATCAGATTATTTTGGATCACTTCCAGCTTTTGCACAACCACACTTAACAGAGATGCTTTATGGCTAAGTGTTAAGTAATATCTAATTGCATCCTTCGTTGATGTGCTGGGGGATCTTTCTGTAATCTCTTTAGTGTGTTAATTACAGTGGTGTCCACCTCCCTGTCCTCTTTCTGACTCTCATGCTCTGGTCAACATGTCTGGTGGAACAAGCTACTTCCCACCTCCCGGCTTTCAAGCCCATAAATCAACTACTGAGCTCATGTCTTTATGCTTTTGCATGCCTAAATGTATAGTTTTACTGCAAAAATATTGAGAGGCTTGTTAAAAAGGCAATAATTATAGGCTAAAGGTTGTATATCTGCCTGCTCAGAGAGGAAGGCAGTGACAGATATGTATGTTTTACCCAAAAGGTCAAGTCCAAATCACTAAAAAACAAAATATCTTAAAATTTTACAGACCTCCAAGAGGATTCAAAGCAGTAACAAAAAAGGTCACATTGTAACACTGAGTGCAGCTGTTTGGTAAAAGACGATAGTCCTGTCTAGTTGTGCATGATACTGTGCTATAAAACCCAGGGAGTTTACTTAATGTTTGACCATAAGCTGCAGGAAGATAATTAGTCCATGATGATAGTGCAGGAAGAAGAATGGGTATGATTACATGCGGTACTCAAGTTGAGGGGGGATAGCATCTCCTAAAAAAACTTAAAAATCATCCCCCTTCTTAAATGGCCATCCTCCCATACCACCCCTTGTGACATTTTATTTCTGAAATTGTAAGATTTCTACTATATATTAACAGTAATGACAATAC